CCCCAAAACCCCAAAACCCCAAAACCCCATTAAATCATATATTGGAAGTTTTCTAAATATTATTAAATAGTAAATTGAACAATCCTAAAAATAAATGAGCAAGGGCTATTTATTACATCTTTATTTTAAGATTTAGGCTAAATATATTTTTGCAATCATCTTGATAATTGTCTTAAATGGTTAGATTCAATCATAATTATAGCAATGCTTTTACTAATATCCCAAAAGTTTTGGGAATAGTACAGATTATTCTAAATATTTTGCTATTGACATTGATACTTCATAAAATATTGTGGCAGGAGGAATGATAATTTCAGAACTTATTGATATTTCGGGAGAAAGCTACCCAATAATCTCTTATTTCTCAAGTGTGCCTTACCAAGATTGGAGTGTTTTCTTGGATTCCTTAATATATGATATAGTTTAATCGATAAATTTTCAGCAAGGCCTTGCAAGTGCTGAAAAGTTTGTAGTTTTACTTGAAAACTATGCAACTTTATAAGCAAGTATTGTTATGATAACTGTGGGAAATCAATAGATTACTTCTTACTTTTAAGACATTACTAATACTGATGGAGAAATGTCTATTCATTACACCAAAAATTTGATTATTGATTTGGATGCCAATATTTTTATGATATTTACCAGAAAAAGTCAAGTGAAAACAACTATCCTCAAAATAAATCCATAAAATGCTCCAAATTTTTATTCTGTGTGGGGCCTTCAAGAGAATCAAAATGTAAGATCTGCTTATTCGAAAGGAAATGCTATACTATTTAACTCTGATTACAGTGCTCTATATTGTGTTACTAAATATGCTTTTGATTCCACTGCTAATGCTCCCTATAAACAGGATCTAGTCATTTAAAAGATAAAAAAAGAAACAGGATCAGTATTATGGACTTGAGGCCTACACAAAGAATCTTTATAAGAGATCGATTCTTTTAGAATTAAAGGACTAACTGAGTTCATTAATGGCATGAATTCTCATTTATTTGGTTGTGGTTGGATATATACGAGAGTAAGTCCACCTCAAGAATTCTCTTTGTTTTTTTAGTTAGCATTTACAAATACTAATGCTTTTTTACAGCAAGTAGTTATCTTAATGCCTGAATACTTACTATGCTCCTCAGCATTAGCTACATCTAAATCTACAGTATATTTCTTAGCTTTAGATGAATCTAGAGGTGAATTAAATCTACTTTTATTCTCGAATTTCAATTTTGATCCTCTGAATTCATATTCTTCAATGAAAAGATACACCTTCAGCTATTAATTTCAGATAGAACTGTATGATAGTGTCTTCTTTTAGCCAGATGAATATCTATTTGTTGGTGCTTAACAAAACCCAAAAGTATCAGCAAATTTGAAGCAAGCATTTCTAATGTCTAATATTTTGAGTAAATCATGCTTAGATACTAATCCTACTTAGATAACCCATCAGCCTCAAGAACTATTAAAAGTAGACATGTTTACAGCAATGATGTATCCTTTAGATGCTACCTCATTTAATTTCAAAACATTAGATACTGTGCCTATTAGGCCTTTGGACATGATATAGTATAAATCTTATACAAGCGCTGTAT